ATATCAATAGTTTGACACTAATAAAAAACATAAAAAATACTTTTAGTTTTTTTTTTCCGTTAATTTCCCATTAGGTAACATTTATTACAGTAATATAAAAAATCAAAAATTACGGATCTTAATCTGGGATTAGATTATTAATGGACAAGGATGAATAAATCGTAAACATTTGTAACAAGTTGATATACTAAAATCTTAAAAGTAACTAATGTTATTATTGCGAGTAGATATCTCTATTTATGGTCACATTCACCGTGGAATATATCATCATCAACTTCCGAGATAAGTAACTGGTTTTTGTTTAACATTTATTTTAGTGAAAATTATGTATTAAAAAATACTCCTCTTACTACCCAACAATAATTTAGAGGTTTGCACACGGTACGGGGTTGCAATGTGATTAAATGTCATAGGTATTTTACATGTATTGAACGATTTACTAAAAATGCTCATCTCCATTTTTTTCATTTAATAATGAATTTATTTAAGCTTTGATTTTTGAAATATTTAAATTTATTTAAACATTATATTTTCAAATCTTCGAGAAATGTTTTGTTTAGTAATACTTAAGGAGCGTTTTTGTAGTGATATAAAAATGTGGGATCCCTTCTTTTTTACCATAAATTATTGAGTCGATATTTTTATTTTTTTTTTATGTTGATATATTAAATTCTAAATTTTAATTAGTAGTTTTTTAGTTATTTAAATGTTTATACTAAGAATAAAAGTTCCTAAAAATAGTTTAGAAAAAATATAAAATAAATGTAATAGTAGATTTTATAATATTTATATTGATAGATTAATATGAATCAATACAATATTCAACTATTACTATAGTTCTTAAATCTTCCAAACCCATTATTATGTACACAAAATAAAATAATTTAAGGATTACTCATTCGAGTTTTGTTTTAAGACGTCAAAATTTTCAGAAAAAATATTTAATAAGTAATTTTCAGTATAAAAGAGAGGTTCTCATTAAAAAAAAAAAACAGAAATTCGTATCTTCAGAGAACACTTAATAAGTAGTAGGTACAAAAAACTCAAAAGTTTAAAAATATAGCCTTTAAGAGGACGCTACCTTCCCACGTACTGTCTTCGACTTACAAATATACAATGCAACATATTTAGGTCCAGTATTAATATTCAATGATCAATATTGTGTGTTCTTAGCTTTATTTTAAAGTAAATTTATCTATTATCACTGTTTACGGTAAGAGCATTATCTTTCCATATATTACTATAATAATATATATAAACATGTTTAACTTATCATATTTATAATACAAAAAAAAATAGTGATAACACATATTTCATATTAATAAGAATTTGAGTGGGAATTTATTATAAATGAGGTTAATAGTTGTCGATAACAATAAGTATACGGTTATGGATAAATAAACATTAATCATTTTTTTTTTCATTTTTTTTGAATTAATGTTCAGAAATTCTTATCATATGGTTTTACTTTTCGTACAGAAGTATCTCGTTTTCTCTAACTGAAAAAAAAACCAACACTTAAGCACTGCTTATGTACTTATCAGTTATCACTTTAATAATAGCTAATTGGTCGATTTAATCCAATATTAAAGTTAAGAATACACAATTGATTTTCCAAATTTTACAAAATTTCATTTTGCAAATTGTTTTTTTTTTGTATTTAAGTAAAACGATGACAACACCATACGGAGGTTGCATCTTCTTAAATATATTAAGAAATTCAAAATCAAAGTATGAATAACTGCAGTATTGAAGGAAAAAGGGGTAAGTGTGCTTGATGATCCACCCATATATACATATATATTATATTGAGCTTCAGTTATTATACAATAAATTGTAAAACATATAAAATGTTGTAAGATAATTTATCACAAAAATTGTCGATTTTAAAAATTATTTTTATAATTTCATAAAAATATCTAACCTATATATTATAAAATCCGAAATAGACGATATTTCATTGGATTTTAATTTTTTGAGCACGTTTGTATGGATATTGGTCAAAGCATTGCATTAGGTATTAGCGCCAATGTGATTAAATTGATACAAAATTCGGTTTTTTTACGTATATAGGTATATGTTATTAGGATAGGCAGTTTACAATATTAACATGTGTGTATTATCCACTTTTTGTTATAGGTAGAATATTCATTTTTCAACAAAATAATACACAAAATTACTTACCTGATATAATAATACATATACGAAAACGTTACATAAAATAATTTGACCTCTGAGAATAATGATAGTATAGTGTCATGTACAAACATCAAGGGTACAACGAATTGCACAATGTCGGGGTCACGTAATATAAAACATAATATATTATCCTCTTTAGGCGCACACCGTCTACAAAAACGCACGTTTCGGGTGATGAAAAAGGGTCGACGTGAATGAATGATCTTCAAAATGAATATCAAAGAAAGAATCACGCAAATCGCATAACCCCCTATCTCTATGTTTATTATATAAATGTGAAATCTAATTTTGTCGTAAGCAGCTAATTTTAGAAACTACAGGGTCAATTCTAATTTCAATAAAACCTTTAGTTTTCTTCCTTAAGAATTGATAGATATTTTTAATTTTATTTTTCAACCCGTATAGGTCGGTATATGGTGGTTCATTTTATGCCAATAATTTCGTTTAAAGTCAAAAAGTGTTTACGTTAATAAAATAACTTAATTGTATTAAGTAAATACTAGTTTTTCTATTTTCATTTACATTTCTTCACAATCGTTAGTCTTATTATAGTTGATCATGTCTATTATTTTTATAAAATACCATAATGTAAATTCAGTATTTGCCGCTATACGCAAGGAGCTAAATTATTTCGTTATAAAATAAAACAAATGCCAATAAAACCAATAATTCCAATAACACTGACAAACGAATTCGTTATTAAGAACGTTGAACTCATGAAAAAAGTAATAAAAATAAATATTTTTTATAAATTTAATACGTTTGAAATATTTGTGCGTTAATCATAAATGCTTAATTTTCTTTTTTATAAATATTTAATTAAATGGTTAATATATATATACTTTAATAGGTAGGCTCCAGGATTTCAGATATTACTAATTATAATATATAGTTTATTATCAATTGATTATGTTTAATTAAATATTAGATAAGTTTATATAAATTTTAGCTTCTAACATCTGTATATTTGATGAAATCTTGTTATACATTTTTAGAACCATTAAAAAAAAATTATTTCAGTAACAAAAAAATAGAAAAATACTAAAATATTGGTTATTGAAATACAGCAGTAAAACCAAAAAAAATAAATAAATATTAAAATATGTCCAGGATTAAAAATGCTGAATCGTAATAAACGTAATAATTGAAATTGTACCCATATACATTTCGTATTATGTACTCGTATTTTAACTAAAACGAAACAGTAAACAATAGAAAGATTGAATAATTTTAACACGGACAGAGTCGGGTACTGTAGTTATATTACATTATTATTGATCGACGACAATAGTTGTGGCCAAACTTGGGACGTGTTGGATTTGCCCCATAGTGGGGTGGCATCAAGAGATACTAAGAAGACTACGTTTTAACTGCAATACTATCGTACATAAATATATTATGGAGTTGTACATGAACATATGATTGCATAGTGCACATGGCTCAGATAAAATTGGTAGATACTATAAAAATTTAAAAAGAAAAAATTCGACGTTACTTGCGAAGGAGAATGAACCACCAATAACATAAACATACACGAGTGTCAATTTCTTACTTACACTTCTGTGTATACATATTAGTATATTACATAATGATACCTATAATATGGAACCTATTATAATTTTGAATGATGTGCACATGTGGAGAGTGTCACAATTCCAATTCATGATTTTGAATAGATAATTTAGCAGTATTATACGCACGATTGTCCAAAATATACATATAGTTCACCTAAATAATATTCTCAACAACAATAATAATAATTTCCCATACTTTTACACCTCTATTATGGCCTACTTTGATATTTATTAAAATGATACACTGATGCATACAAGTATGTTTTCACTAAAGTCTAAAACTATACATTAAGATTTAATTAAGTATAATTTGTAAGGCTGATCGTAATACACTGTCTTTATAAGTAAATATAAACGCGTCAATCGAATTAAACCGTATAGAAATATGCTCTTTTAGTTGAAACATTAAAAACAAACAATAGGTGTTCTATCCTCCTGGCGCCTGAATCGTTTTTATGTTTTGTATTTATAAGTACCTAATGTCCATTAAAATGGACAAATCTTTCTACCCCCGATAACGCCTGACCTGTTTTTAAAATTTGTAAACGTATGTGCCGGATGTCCATTCAAATGGACATTTGTTTTTAGATATTGTTTTATTTTTCTTATTTTTTTTATTATATTTATTTGTAGTAAACTTGTATTAATAGTTTCCATACAATATTTAGTTTATTAATTCAGTTATTTTGTAATCATTGTTAAAATAATTATGTATTTATTTAATTCATTTATAAACTAACGAATTTTCCATATTAAAAGTCTATAATTTTCGTATTTATACAAATATTTTAGACAAGAAAGTTATATTTTTAGTTTGTATACACATTAATGTGTAATCTGGCTAAATTTGAGCGTATTTCATTATTTTTATATAATTTTTATATTGCTCGAAACAATGTCCATTAGAATGGACATCCGGCTGTTATTACTACAATACCAGCTGTACCCAGTTATTTAATATTTTTTAATGTGTTTATAAATTCAAATATCTTTTCGTTGGGGAATACCTATTATTGTGACTTATATAATTTCAATAATATTATTACATGTCAACAATAAGTTATTTTTATATTAAACATTCTAGTATATCGTTATCATAAATAATTTTTATAGTATATTTTACTGTTTAAACATTGAGTTAATGACGCAGACAGACACAGTGTATTATTAGGTTCAGACGATTCCGTGTAGACGTGCGTACCGAATATTTTTCCAAGTTATAATAATATGATTCGTTCATCAAATTTATCTGATGAGGCAATATTAGAACTCATTAATAATGGTAACACGTCAGAATGTGAAATTGACTTTGATGTAAGTGGAGATGAAGATTATGGTATACCAGATCCACTAGGAGTACATAATGATATTTCAATGGATATTAACGAACTTCTAGAGGAAAACGATAAGTATTTTAGTCAGTTTTCAAATTCTAATATCAATATTGAGGATTTAGTAGTTGAATTAAATACCGAGAGTACCGAAACGTGTGTACAAACAAACAATTTACGTAGTCCTAGTCCTAATACTAATTTACATAGCACTAACTCTTCTTCTAATATTAGTGTATCGCCAACTAAGTATGTAAATAATATGAAATGGAAGAAAAAAAATGGTTTTAAAAAAAAAATAAAAAGAACCCAACCCGATGAGTACAATGATTACGAGAGAACCGGGTGGACACCAATTAATTATTTTAATCAATATGTAAATGATGCGACAATTAAAAATATGGTAGATTGTACTAATATCAGAAGTGTTAAAGAGACTGGAAAATCAATTAATACTACATTATACGAAATGAAATGTTTTATAGGTTCAAATATGTTCATGTCGACTTTAGGTTACCCACGAATGCGTATGTATTGGCAAAAAAGAACAAGAGTACCTACAGTTAGTAATTCTATATCTAGAGATCGCTTTTTAGTAATTCGAAAATTTTTAAAAGTAGTGAACGATGATGATATTTCAAACGAAAAAAAAAGAGATGCATTTTGGAAAGTTCGTCCGTTCATAGAGAGTGTTAGAAGTGGTTGTTTAAGATTAGTACGAGATGTAGAATTATGTATTGACGAACAAATGATTCCTTTCACTGGTAATGTTAAAATGAAACAGTTTGTTCGCGGAAAACCAAACCCAACTGGACTTAAAAATTTTGTTTTAGCAAATAAAAACGGATTAGTGTTGGATTTTTGTATTTACCAAGGAAAAGGAACGACATTTGAAACAAACAGTGAATACCTTCTTACTATTGGAGAATCTGCTGTCGTTCATTTATCCCAAACTGTTCCACCGGGATCATGTTTATATTTTGATAGATTTTTTACAACTCAAAAACTTTTGGACATTTTGAAACAAAAGAAAATTGTTTGTACGGGAACAGTTATGAAAAACAACATACCTAAAAATATTGATATATTATCGGATAAAATTCTAATGAAAAAACCTCGAGGTACTTCTGTACAATACGTCCGAGAAGACAAAAAACTATGTTTAGTTAAATGGTTTGATAATAAACCCATTCATTTACTTTCTACTGAAAATGGCAGTACTCCACATAGTAAATGCAAACGTTGGGATAATAAAAATAAAAAAAGAATTGAAGTTCCTATTCCTCAAATTATTAAAAACTATAATGATTATATGGGTGGTGTCGATCTTTGCGATCGTATGATATCATTTTATCGTATGAAAACAAGAACTAACAAATGGACCATACGAGCAATTTTTCATTTAATCGATTTAGCTGTTGTTAACAGCTGGATAATGTACAAACAAGACCAAATAAGAAAGGAAGTTCCAGTTAAAAAAATACATCAACTATTAGATTTTAAAATTCAACTATCAAGTGAACTATTGGAGTATGATGAAAATAGTATTGATTATCAAAAATATTCTGGAAGGCATAATTCATTACCGTCAAAAGAGAAAAGACATAAAGGTTAACAAAAATAATAATAAATATTAGGTATGTTTGCGTTGAAATAATTAACTTATTTATACCTATATTTCAGGTGCTGAACATTTACCAATAATGAAGGATATAAAAAATTCATCAAGGTGTCGTTTTATAGGTTGTAAAAAAAAAAACAAAGATTCAATGCAGTGAATGTTCTATGTATTTTTGCATTACCACAAGCAATAATTGTTTTTTTTAATTTCCATAAAACATAATTTAAATTTAAATTTTGTAAATAAATATTTTATTTTAACTTTATAGTTATAATGTCATAACATAAGTTTTTATCAAGTCAATTTTATTATTATTTTATGTCTAACACCAGTTACTATTATTTTATTAGGTTTATTATTCAAATAAAGGCATCAACTTTAAAACTTTGCTTGAATATTACTAGTGATTTATTAAACAAGTTATTTCTAGTATTAATATGTTGTTGTAATAACAATTACCTAATGTCCATTGTAATGGACATTTTTCGGAGCGTATTTTATACGTGAAGGAAGAATGATAAAAATGCTTATATTATTTATTATTGTTCCTTATCATATCTATTTTGAGGTTATAATATCATATCAAACTAATTGAAAATAAAATATGGCCCGGCACTTAGGAGGTAAATATAAATATCCATTGAAATGGACATCAGGCACATACGGTTACAATTGTTATAAACAGGTCAGGCGTTTCAGGGAGTAACACAAAATGTCCATTGAAATGGACATTAGGCGTCAAGAGGCTATACAGTATTATTTATATTATACTTGAAACTAATTATGATTAAGTCGAGCGTAAGTATTGTTCATTTTCTAATCGATTTATACGTATTATATTACACGTATGATTAAAATTATAATTATATTTTATGCATGCATACTGTGAAACCTAACTGATGGTTTATTAAGAAAGTGCAATGAATTTCAAGGACAAATAATTATCATATTTATTATTTTGAAATTAATTTTCCAGCAAAATATTTAAGTATTAATATTAGTAAAAATAAACACCGTATTGTCAATATTACAACTGTTGTTAAAATTCCGCTTATTGTAAAAAAAAATTTAAAAATGTATCATAGCGTTTTAAATTACGTACATATTATGCATTTTATAGGTGCTAATAAAATTGAAATATGTTTATATTATATTTCAATAAATACGCTCTACCTATCCACGTATACGATCATTTATGAACGTTGTTTTTAATATTATCTGGTTTAAGACTTTAAGTATATACAATAATCTATAATATAATAAACTATATTATATAAATGTATTTATAATATAAATTGCACCAAACATTGTACCAATTACTTTGGCTAGTTGACAGTTGTACAAGACTTTAGAAATACACGAAAAAAATTGTCGTGCTACCCGATTGGTCACGTTTTTTGTATTACTATTATTTTTTTCTACCATCAACAACCTTGGAGGTTTATGATATTATGTACCTATACGTGGACTATAAAACCTTTGACCGGATTGTAAGTAGGTATATACATGTAATTTAAGGTAATATAAATAATAATATATTACTTTTTTTGTACCCACTCCACATTTGTGTAAACCGCTCATACGTGCATGTAGACCTACGTAAAGAGATTTCCTTTCGGAGAAAGTGTCGGGTATATTGCAGTGTGAAAAAGATGGCTTACCCAAACCTGCAACAATGAGAAAAGGATTGGGCCTATACATGTATACATATATATATATATATGACAATTTATCAATCATTTGAGTGTGATATAATACATTTAACTAATGTAGTTCTAGACATCCAACCAGTCTGGTCATGACCTATAATGGCTTTAGTATCTTCCTACTCTTAAAAAAAAATTACGTATATATGTATAAATATTATATACTGTTACAAGTGTGCTTAAAAAAAAACCGAATAACGATCGTTTAAACTGCATTTTTTATGTTTAAATTTCAAGTGCTGTTGCTGAGAGAAAAAAAGTGAAGAAGAATTTTCCTCTATATATGTATGCCTTAACTGTTATTTAGTATTTGTCAATTTGTATTTTGTTTTACGTGCACGCAATTTAAAATCGAATAAAACTCAGAAGCTGAAATTTAAAGTTAAAGTTTGACATTTCTTATGCGACTTAAAAGACCAAACTATATCATATACATAACATATTTCTTGAAAATAAATATTCAAAACAGCGTTTATTACGCTTATTCTTTTGATTTTAGGTATTTTTACAACCATTATTTAGATAACCTAGTTATAAATCTTTAACAATACTTACAAAAATAACAATATATTTTTAATTAAAATGTTGTCTTGTTGATATTATTTTACATTTTTTACTTATGATATACACGCATTTATAAAAATTCAAAGGGAGCAATGTCCTCTTCTGGTCACCCCTGTTGCCGGCCTTGGTAGTGAGTAAATTATATGAATATTATATAGCTTATAGCTAAGCGGTAATTCTACATTTAAGTTATATTATTTTGCACCATGAGATGTATAATATTATATGCTAGAAGAAATTAATCAATTAAAAATGTATAAAATAATATATTTTATAATACGCGATTCATATCTATAAATATGAGCAATGTGTATATATATACAATAAACCTCACAAAGAGTATTATAATAAATGTCTATATCTAAACATAATCTATATAGTTATACTGGTAAATATTTTAATTAGAACGAACGTATAAAAGCATTTCATCTGCATTACTGATGGTTCAGAGTTTAACTATATTATATTATATTTTGTAATAGAGGTATATATACAATTTATATATTATACATAATATGTGACTTCTGCTGTAGCACAACAACAACTAAAATTATTTTTAACGTTTTGCTCTTAATTTATCGGAGGAAAACTATAATTACTGTCTTCGGCAGTTGGGCTATAATACGTAATATGCTGCGGACGCGCACATAACATTAATGCATCATAATACGAATATATATATATATATATCAGATTCGATCGATAAAGAGAAATTAAATTATAATTAACAATATAATATATTAGAACATAGAGTGTATAATATAAATACTATAGTCTATAACGGTTAATCAGCTAAACATTCCAATGATTTAATCCGATACGCGTACATGCGTGCTATATATTTATGTATATTATGTATGTGTATGTACTACGGAATGATGCTTAATAGTTTTTATTGAAATAAGTCATAATAAGATAACATTTTTTTTTTTTTTTTTGATTTTAATATATTAAGCAAAAATTAAATTTTGTATTTTATAATAATTATACTTTTTAATAATACATATTGTAAGTATGCAATTAGCAAAAGCTTAGCTTCTTCTTGAACAGATAGAAAACAAATTTTTAAATGATGTCACTTTTAAATTTAATAATCATCATACATCTCAGGACTTTTTCAATACAAGACAGCCCTAAATCTTCAAACATCAACTTCCCGTCGTAAAGCAGACTACAATTTCTCATTTTCTTTAGTAATATATTATATAAATTACTTTATTATTCAATATTTTCTCGATCTCCTTGCAATCATATTATTTAAAATTTTAAATCATTCTTCTGAAACTCGATTTAAGTTCTATATATCAGCACATAAACATAAAATGGACACAACCACATGTTGTATTGAATAAATAGAGTTGAAAATATCGCTTAACTTCTTAGTCCACGTCTCGCGTTACTTAATTTTTTTTATCATTATTGTATGGGTAGTTATATTTTTACTTTATATAAATTGACTAATAATGAACTATCATGTATATTAATTATTTTTTCCTTCGTAATTTACAATTTTAGTTAAAATTTATCAACTGTATCTCTTTAAAAATATTATATTAAACTGCTGGTTAGTGTTAATAAACTAATAATAATAAGGAATTTCATATGAAAACCACGATTAACACCTCTACAATATAACGATTAATCACATTGGATATGACTAGTAATGATTATGTCGTAACGAATTGTAGAAATAAAATATAATATGTGTCATATGCATATGTTGTATTATAGTACATAATATGTTTGAGGATGCCTTATTATGCATTTTTCAATATTTTATTTACACTAAACCATGTTTTTAAAAATTCAGAATAAAAATAATTATTGTATAATGAGTATATCTTTCACACTTTCTGTAAGTGAGTGTTTTAATTATGAAGCAGATAGAATAGTTCTAAAAAAAAATGATCATTTAACAATATAAAATATATACATTATATATACTATTATATATACGCGATATCGCGTTTTAGTCTCGTAAAGTATTTTTGAAAAACTCTTTTCTTTCCTTCGTCGTCGACGCATATATCGTATTACCCAAAAATCCGTGTGTATCTATATATTATACAAGCGTGCAAACGATCACACCGAATGTAAGAAGAGTTTGGATATCTCTCTCTCTTCGTGCATATACATATATACACATTATATTATAGAAAGAATTCCGCCTTAACGCTTCGCCTTAAACGAACGTATCAAGTTGCCATTTTTATCGGCTCTCCTATGTGTTTTGTGTATACATACAAACATATATATGTATACATAATATAGGAACCTATATAAACTCACCGCAGCTGTTGAACTACGTATACGCGCGCGCGGCATACACGAAAAGGAATGCACATGAAAATAATAATGGTAAATATGGACCTGTTTAACCGGACATTCTTTGTTTGCGATGTTTTTTTTTTTTGTCTTTTCGTTTATTTTTTCATTGCAACCATCGCAAGCAGCGTATACATAGATAGGTACGACGACGACGATGGGTTTTCTCAAACAAACAAAAGTAATCGATCACTTATCCCTGTAGGTATTACATTGCCGGAGGACACCGCGACGACGGTACATTATATTAGGTGAATGTATATACAAAGTAAGATGAGATTATGAGGGTATATGACTCTTCTGATATTATGGTATTATAATATTTCATAGAATAGGTAACGTATCATAATTTTTATCGAATTAGATCTATCCGAATTTGTTTTTAGAATTTAAACTGGC